ATTTTCGGACTCGGGAATGAGCTTGAAAACGGATCAAGAAGATACCGCAGGATTAAAATTAAACATTATAATAGGATCGAACCAAGTAAGCAAAAACCAGTCCACGAACAACAACGCGTGCCGCGGGTTAAAATCCCCCACGAAATTTACGGACTCCCGCTGGGTGCCGCTGTCAGATCAGTTCCCCGAAGATTTTGCTTATTCGGCTTACCTAGATGGTAGAAACGGAGAGAGAATAGTTCGAGTCGTGGCATTTTTGCCAAGTACAAATCTTATGTACTGCCACATTTGGTTGCGGGATTCAAGCACGACGATGGGCAAAAACGTAGAGACAGTTCGAGCCGGGAAAGCTTATATATTCAGAGCCTGTGCGCATAACATGTAAGTGTTGATAGGGTGGATATGTGAAATGTTCGTGTTTTTTAGAATCATATGTATTATTATTATTATTATTATTATTATTATTATTATTGTTGTTGTTGTTGTTGTTGTTTGTATTTCTGAATTAAGTTGGAGAATGAAATGAGAAAAAGAGAGAAGTAAGAGTAGTAGTATGGTAGAAGTATAGTTTGATGATGAGTGGGCATTTATGAGTGTTTGCATTTTTTTATTTACTGATCTGCTTATGCGTGCTCTTGCATGAATTAGGTAGGCACGTACGCACTTTTTTCTTTTTCTTTGAATCATGTGCATGTGTGTGGGTGTGTGTGTGAGAGAGAGAGAGAATGAGAGAGAGAGAGAGAGAGAGAGGGGCTGCAAATGTCACCTGTGGTCATTATATGTAATGGTCAACGGGCTATACGGTCCGTAGTGCCAGTAGATCACCTTTTGAAATCGAGACCCCGAAAATACCATACAAATCGCATCCAACATTCCTGTAACAGACTGCAAGTGCACCCAGCTGTTGTCAGAGAGTACCAGTAGATTACCGTTCCTGCCACACCGTCCAGAGAAAGAAATGGGGAGGGGGGGAGAAGTACGTGGTTCATTTTCGACGTATTCAGTTTTATCTTTCAGGATCCCACCGGCATTGTTAAATTGCAGAGTGAACTCAAATTCAACGCCTTACGCAGTTTCCATCGTAAAGGACCCCTGCCATTCACCCGGCAGCGCCATCAAAGTGCGGGACGCGCGCGTCTTGAGGAATTCGCCGCCCCCTAGTGACGACAGCTTCGGCGTGTGCGTTAAGCCTCTTCACGGGGCGAAACAGAGCACTAGCAGGCTGGTTGAATTTATAGAGGTAAACCGAATGTTTGGCGCTCAACATATAACGCTGTATGATTTTAATGCCAACAAAACGGCAATAGGGCCCATTTTAGACGCATACCAAAAAGACGGGATTCTTTCATTGGTGCCTTGGAATTTTCCGGCGACCGCGCAGCGCATATTGACGAAGAGAAACACGGCGTTCATATACTGGGTTATAGAATGTGGCCAACTCGCAGCTACGACAGATTGCTTGTACAGAAACATGAATAGGTTTCAATACTTGGCCGTTGTGGACATGGACGAATTCCTCACCCCTAGGGCCAACAACTCCTGGAGGGACCTTATCAAAATCCTCCCACAAAACGCCGGTGCGTATCTCTTCCAGAATAAATTCTTCCGCATGGACTGGATGGGACGGCAAGAGATCGCCAAAAACCACGCGGCTCTCAATGACTCTCGTGCTGCTAAATTCAACCCCAAGTCCCTCTCGGTGACCAAGTCGGAATTCGTTGGAGAGGTATACAGACCTAAGTATATACTTCGCACGGAGGCGGCCTATGCGACCAGGGTGCATCGGCCCCGGTTGTTCCCCTCGTGGGTGGAGTATGTGGTGCCTAAGCACCTTGGGTTGAGTCACCATTACCGGAATGCAGGGCGGTCAAATCGCCATCTAAAGGGGCATCCGGTCGAAAAGGACACCTACATGTGGAAATATAAGGACGAACTTCTAACTAGAATGGAGAGGGTATTTAATAGAACTGGTGCACTTGTTACAGACTGATATACTCGAATATACAGGGTTCTTATGTCTATTAATTAATTTATTAATTTATGTATTTATTTATTTATTTATTTATTGTCATAAATCCCAGTGTTCGATTCCGAGTCATATGTTAAAGAACATACTACATGTACGTGCCTTTACCATTACAAAATGTGCCACTATAAAATTCCCGACTTCTTTCTTCGTTACTGGAGAAACTCATAAATTAAAATCCAAGGACTCGGAAACTGGATAATATAGATGTGGTATTTTCAACGGCTCTAGATAGTGTATAATTTGCAACTGGAGATTAATTGAAAGTTGAATTCCTAGGTAGGGTTAAAAAAAAAAAGGCTGAAAAAAGGTCTAATGCCGAATGTATGAACTTTAGTAGAGGGACTCCATTATTTTGCGTTTACGACTGAAATCATTTTTAATTTGACTGTAACAATTTATAATCGGTAGGTTTAATTGTACTTAATGTGATAAATGCTTGTGTGTTTAAGGAACTGCTGGTAGTTTTACTGTCAGTTTAGAGAACCTGAACACATGGTTGGGCTGGATAGGAAGGGTTTTGACTGGACTGGAAGCACGTTTTTTTTTTTTTCAAGCCCAAAGATATGTCGAGCTAGCTGTCAAAAAATTGAAGTGTATGTTCCCTGGTCTTACCTAACGAATTATAGTCAAATCTGCTCCCCCTCCTCCTCCTCCAGTCGTCGGGTCTAAGATTTTCGAAACGTGACTTTACAGTCCTGAAAGGGCCAAAGGTTTCTATCAGCTGAGCTACGAATCCTTCAGGTCTTATACCGGTAGCTCAGCCATCACGTTGCAGTCATTTTTATGGACTTGTAGTTTGTCAGGACAAACAGCCATCACTTGTGCGCGTCGACTTCCCTATTTTTTCGTAAACACCATAAAAATAGTGAGCAAAATGTTCATAAGCTTGGTAGTTTGATCACAGATGATAATTATATTGCACAAGCTAACAACTCACGTCAGTCTGAAGAAGGCCCGCATCTAAGTTGGCCGCAAAATAATGGTATGGTGAATATTTTCAGCTTATGCTACAATGTAAATAGTTATCATCTATGAATAAAAATAGTGTTACTTATTATTCTCAAACTTACTATAATGACCCGATTTAATGGGTTAAATACAGCTATAGGTAAAGAATAACCTGATCCGATTATTTGTCTTATTTTTTATTCATGTTGTACGAAATTGTCAGCACAATCAACATTACCTGACTGAACCCTGAGATCTACAAAGTCAATGTCTCAGCTGAGCTTGTTGTTGGAGGTGCGCCGGATTTTATGGGTAACCGTTTAAACAACTCACAGTGTAGCAAAGATTTGCCAAAGGCGATGTAGCAGGTGCTTGGATTAAAATTTACGTTGGCGCAAACCGTTCCCAACACTATAATAATAATAATAATAATAATAATAATAATAATAATAATAAAGGTTTGTTCAAAACCCGCTTCAAATTTGTCTCAGTATCCGCACAGTACCGAAATAATTATATTCATAAACTTGGTATATTATAAATAAGTAAAAGATAGATTTCCGGCAGATAATAAATAAAAAAAACAAAGGGAGAGGACAAGTGTTTAAAAAATGTCGAGCAGGTGCCCCTTAATGAAGAATATACTTGTCATCTAATAAATGCGTCTGGACTTTTATGTACTCAAAAACCACACGCTGTTTCATTTGATCTTACACAAAACCGAACTTTTCCCACCTAGGATGATTAAGCCTCCAGCTGTTACAAAACCTTATGTTCCAATACCATCGCTACTGTACGACTTGCCTCATGTCATTTTAACACAGGCGATGAACACACCGAGACTAGGATGTGAAAGCGTGAAAAACTTATCTCTGTAAAACATTTACTGAAGAAATCATCGAAAAAACGGAAATTATGCGAAGCGAAACCATCATGTCATTAGTAGTGTTGTGCTGCTTTCTCGTGATCTTTGCCAATTGTGTTACAGCGGCAGAGCTTAAAACACATCAGTTAGGTAAGTGTCAACATGCACTGAATTAGTGTTTTGTTAATATATACTAAAAGTTAAAACCATCTTTTGGCCTAAAGATCTTTTATGAATCTGCTCCTTGGGCGTTTTGGCATATGGATGTATGCAATGAAAGATAGAGTGAATCAAAAATGATAACATTAAAATGTTATGAAGACAGTTGTCTATCGTTTTTTATCTTTACCACTCAAGTCTAGTAGACAGTTCTGATAGAATGGCATAACTATTCTTGCTTATAGTGTAATCAAGTGTTATCAATCAGAAAATACCATTTTATTTATTTATTTATTTATTTATTTCAAACTTCATTTAAAGAGTGATAAACATGTTGAGAGCAAGTTTATCCCCCACGTGGCCCTCTGCGAATAGTCCCAGTTGTTCGGCAGTACTGGTTATTTATTTATTTATTTATTTATTTATTTATTTATTTATCGTCAAAACCAATATGCTTGCTTATTGCATTTTGTATATTCCAGGTTTTGCTCAATTTGAATGCTTTTCCTGCTACAGTCGGTCCTCAGCATGTGGTAGTAGAATGAATGCAGAATCAATGGCTGTGGCCTCCAAACAGAGGTGCAGAAGTAAATGCTTTCTTAGGATCGATGGTCCAAGTGAGTTTTAAAACTTCGTTTAAATGAATTCATTTTTTCTTCATCTGGTTGTGATATCCCCAATAAGGAACCTTCACACCATAATGTATACGAAACGGATTGCAACATATAATTTTAAGCACAAATGAATCGCCTTTTTTTTGTCTTTATTACCACGCAGGATGTGACTACCATGCTGTACTTTTATGAGCTAACAACATTCAATTTTAATTGCACACCAATTACTGAAGAAGTACCCTCGGCAACGTTATTCCAATCAATACGGTGCACAGGTTTATATGTCATTTAATGCAGCAGCTTGAGCCAATTCAAGTGCTTTCAACTTAAGACGTCTAAGTTAGTACTAGTAAGTTCGAATTTACACACCCAATACCAGCTGTTGACAAGATTTTCTTTCATCTGTCTCAACCTCCTAGCAGCATCTGTTTAGCCTCTACCCAGTATATTTTCTCTCGACATGATCGACCTGATGAATTGCGCCTTTTTGTTTACTCATTTTTTGCCAAGAAATTTGAGACTGAATGTTAATTTTGATATTTATTGAAAAGGTTAAGTATTTTGTCGTCGTATATTTAAAATTATTATCATTAATAAACAAAATTCAACTGGGACAAAATGTAAGTGAATAAAAGAAAGAAAGAAAGAAAGAAAGAAAGAAAGAAAGAAAGAAAGAAAGAAAGAAAAATAAAACAGCAAAACCATCGTGAATATCAATGAATGCGAGTCCATGAATTTCAGTAACGCTCACTTGGGGGCGCTATTTGACGGCGACTCCCTGTTTGTCTTCAGACTCATGGTGTCTCCACTTTGCGTTTGCGCAGACATGGCAAGACGTGAAATATGGGCATGTGTCAATGTGTTAACTGCATGTAAATACATCTGTTGCCAGATACAAGATTATGGCAACGGTGACAAACGACATATATGCCCTTCTTGTCTCACCACACATAATCTACATAAAGCATTAAGTCAGAACGCCCAGCACAAGAAGAAAAACTTTGCAGCTGTTTTGTAAGTCCTACTTATATGTGCATGTAGCATAAAGAAGTATAAAATGCAGTCATTCTATTTAGTCAATCTTGCATTATTATTATTATTATTATTATTATTATTATTATTATTGGCTATTCAAGTCCAAAGTTCTGGAAATTTATTATCGCTATTATTTTTATTTTTTAATTATTATTCTACATGTAGTTAAATCCATAAATATTATTTCATTTTAGCCGTGTACAGGGATTGTTTTGACGGCTGGATAGGCGGGATGGTGGACAGCAGCTATAACGGCTGTAGAACACAGTTCCTCCAAGGCAGGTCTATGGAATGGTGCTTCTGCGAGGGGCATCTCTGCAACGGGGCCACGCGAGAGGACTTGGCGAAAATCTTCCGCCAGGTGGAAGCACCTTTTAACATTTTTACTCAAGAAACGACTAAATCACAGCCAGAAGTGCCGGATACAATTGAGTACGGTTCAAAGTCACAGGAGCGAGAGGGAAAATACTCTGATGACCGCGAGCAAGATGGGGACGGTTTGCCAAAACGTGGCTCGAAAACGAATGAATACAACACGGTGTCCAAAGCTGTCGAATCCGCTGCACAAGCACCGGAGAAAACAATACAAAAAGTCGTTGGAGAGGAAGAAGAAAGGTCGGACGATGAACCGCAAGCGGACTTCCCGAATAGCTTCGATCAACTAAGCCGTTACGTCGCTACGCCACGTGCGATCCCCGAGATCAAGAACGACCGAGAAAGCGCGTCTCATTTAATAGAAGACGGGGAGTTCGTAGAGGAGGGGTATAACGACGGTGTGCCCTTTTCAGTGGACATCAGTGACAGAAACAACCGACCGTCATTTCAGCCCGTCGAAGTGTCATATTCTGAAGGTAATTAAAAAGGCTCTGTCACAACTGTATTGAGGCCACTTCGAGAATGAATATTGGCACCCTTTCACAATAGTGAAAAGTGTGGGAGTATGGTGGGAGCGGGCCAAATTTGTATTATAACAGGTTCTGTAACTTTATATAGCATTGTATTTACCTCGACTAATGTTTTGATAATCGATCAATTCAGTTGGCCCATTTTATTCATTTCTTTTAGTTGAAATCTCTATGTTTACAGGTATTAGTTGTTACGAATGTACCAGTGGTTCGCAATCGTGTGGTGAGCGCGTGTATGAAGGAGGGTTCCTCTCCAAGACAGCCTGCAGGACCAAGTGCTACACTAGAAGCGAAAATGGAAGTAAGCACTGTGCATCAGTATATCTATAATATATTGTTGTCACTTATGTAAACGTTTTGTTGGTAAACAGCCTGTTCTTTTTGATAGCTTATTAAAAATAATATCGATTGAGGCGACGTTTTACGTTGTATTAATCTATTCGTATAGGCCTACTGCATTTATTTATTTATTTATTTATTTATTTATTTGGAACATATATTGAAAAATCTCAATACACAACATGTCCCACCATTTTATACCGGCTCGTCACATTCAGTCAGAAATAAAACTCTTCGTTTCAAGACATATTCAGAGGGTGTTTCGACGGATGGATCGGCAGTGTGGTCCACTCGGACTACATCGGCTGCCAAAAACAGTCATACCGCAGCACAGATGTCACGTGGTGTTTCTGCGGGACTGATTTGTGTAATGGCCAGAGCATAGAGCAGTTAGGAAGACGTTTAAACCCCACGTACATAGGCATAAATACTGAACACAGGCATGGATACATTGGAAAGGACAGGATCTCTTATCAAGAAGGGTCGAGGGAATTTAATCACCAAAAGAACATAGAACCTTCATATAACAGACGTCTGTATGGTGTTGACCCCATCCCAATGTATGCAAAACCAACGAAGACAGGTAAGTGAGCTTACAGTATATTTGCATATTTTTTTGTTTTTTCTTATTTGTTTTTCCTCATTTCTTCTTTCTTTTGCTTTGGTTTGAATTCTGTTTTGGTTTAAGCAGTGATAGGTTTTAAAAACTACAACTTAACTGCAGTTTTCATGCACATGTTCCCGCGTCCTGGTACATGGTAATTCAACAATTATTATGTATTTGTAGTTGAAAAGTAGGTACAAATCAACAAAAATGTGCTCGTTTGTTTATTAAAAAATTATATTTCTCTATTTCTCAACAGAGGTCAATCCGTTGAACGAAGACTCTAAGTTCATCAGACTGCGAAGCGCCTGCTATGGGAAAGCAGACGGGCCCCACTCGGACCCACTCGACTGCTCCGCCTTCATTCACTGCTCACACGGCGTCGGCTATAAGAAGTATTGCCCGCCAGGAACCGCATGGGACAATCGCCTGAAACACTGTAATTTTTCAAGGAGAGTTTCGCCTCCGTGCGAGGCGCCATATCAGTGAATGTGTCCTCATAGTTGGTATTGGGCAGTTGTTGATTTATTGTTCATTGGTCGTAGGCCGTTATAAATTAACACGAGGGATGTTTGAGCGGTCTATGTAGACCAACCTCAAGCACGAAAACTTTGTCGTCTTTTGAAACTCTAAAATGGCCGGTCAAAGTAAAAAAAAAGACCAGGAACATAAAGTGGACATTAATTTATTGTTTGGTAAGCTTGATGATGATGGAATAAGATGAAATTATAATCTCCAGTGCAAGTTCTTGATGGGAATTTTGTATATATTGCCAAAACCGAACCAGACGCTACAGAGATCAAAGGTAATTTTTATTTGCACCTTAGAAAGAAGTTCTATTTATTTCAAAGAACATATGTGCAATCGAGTTAACAGCTATTTATTATCGCTATTATTTTTTTTTTTAATTTTCATTCTAGTTAAATACATAAATATTATATCATTTTAGCTGTGTATTGTTACAAAATTGTTACAAAAAAGTGGAGCATACATATTCTAGAACAAAAATGTTAATAAGATGAAATTCGTGAATCGTATAGAAATAAGAATATTACTGACAACGCGTGCATCTACTCTTGTATAAAAACCTTGTCGCTGCACATGCATGTGTACCATGAAACAATTTATCTAATTTATGATAAAATCTATAAGGGGGCATTCAGATAAACGATTTGTTCTAGCTGGATTGATCCAACTCTGTGGGAGATTCTCCCTAAGTGCAATCACGGTAATCGACTTGAATGTCTGACCCAACTACTCGAGGGGTAATTAACTATTAAACTAGCTACTCAGGGAGGTGTGTCAAACAATTTAGCCAATTATACTGAATGCACTTTACCAAGAACCCGCGCTGAGTAATATCGGTTCAGCTGGTACGATGTTTGAATCTGAACGCGGCCTTAGTTCATATTCAAACGAACGCCACTCTCGATCTATATACGACATGCAAGGATCCTCTGTCTCTGCCTCTGTTTATGGGAATCATAACGTTATTATACAGCTAATAAAAGTTTGTTTTTTAATGATATCATTACAAACATCACATTATCAATAAAGCCTACGAGGTATATAAGTATACATTGTTTTTGTGTCCTTTTGCTCACTTGAGAATCCCTGTTATTCTGTCGGAATCCATGCAAAGTTTAACCTAGAAGTAAAGACCTTAAATGTGATAATCTGACTAGGCAAATTCATGTAACCCCACAATTGTTTAAATGATTACGACGAAAACTAAGAATAACAACCCGTCATATTTATCTTCCAGAAGGTCTGTTACACCATCTTAAAATGTACTTTAAATCTTTACGTTTCTACCACATAAATATCCCAAAATCCATTTGGATTTTCGCGTAAAACGAGTAAATACTGAAATCAGATACCTACATTGTTTAATCATGCAGTCCCGTCTTTCTAAGAGGTCACCGCGACAGGAGGACCCTCCTAAGCACGAGCGAGTTCTGTACTGGACTCCGCTCCCGCACGTCTTGGAACAGCGCCCCCAGGGCTGCCACTGGCTCCACTCGGGGTTGTCGACGTCACAGAGACGAGTTTTCCTGGAGTAGATCGTGCAAGGGAACGAGTTGTCTGGGTAACGTGGAATTTTGCCGTATCCTGTTGGAACTCTGTTGAAAGTTGGGCAGGTTAACTTCGTCGGACGAAGTAATGGAGTGCCCTGGTAAATGCATTGGTAATACACGCACTGGTTGCTGCTGTCGCGAAGAAACTGAGGAGTTTGACGATTTGGTTCACACGAGCCCACTAGAATAATTATATTTTTTACATACGTATGTCTTAATTTATCTACTTTGTTTTATTAGTGCAAAAGTCCTGTACATTTCTTTAGCATACAAGGGGCTAAATTTGAATGAGTGTTATTGAAGTGCAACTTTGATAACAACATCGGTCAATGCTGTTGCTTTTTCCAATGAATATATATACAAATAACCGAATAGATAAATTGAAAGATGAATGAATAATAAAAATACTAAATTAATTAGACATAATTTTGTATAACACTGAAAGACATTGACTTAGATGAGTTTTTGTTAAACATATTATTGTTACGAAAAAAATTAAACATAAACTTACCCGGCTCGGCTCTGATGGTATTTATTAATTGCAAAATAATCAAAAAAGCAAAACTAGACAAATACAGCATCTTCTTCAAACTTTTGATAAAACTGTCCCTTTTTTAGTTTAACCTTGGTTAAGAAGCCCAACTGCCTAGCTGTTAAAGAAGAAACCAAATGCTAAAATGCCTTTAAATTTCGAGAAATGATGATAAAGCAAATCGTGCTCAATGTCAAATAACCGCATTGTTTATTAGAAAAGCACGCCTTTTCAATGTGGTTTTACTTTTTTCTTCATTCAGCATGCTTCTGGTCTTCCTTGACAAAGGATGTGGTCTTATCAACAGTTTTCAGCCACTGACCGACAAGGACTGCACCTTAAATAGCCACGCCATTCTGACGGTGCTGTAATGGGAATTTCAGTTACAAATCCAAGCGAAGTGAGTGCTACTGAAATAATCCTGGACAAAANTTTTTTATTTCGTATCAACTTTTTCGTCTATATTTGATGGAGCACGCACAGTGTGTTTCTTAATTTCCCTTTTTTCTAGCTACAAGATGGAATCCTATTGTACAGAACTGAGCAGAAAATCAAGAATGTGGAGGATGGAGGACCCATGGTCACTAACGGAAAGTGGCGGAAAGTTGTGGAAAATTCTGAGGAGAAGCACACAATAATAAAGCAATTACATGACGAAAGTAAGGGCACAACTTATGTGCAGACTTATCATATTTTAAAATCATTTGGCTGGCATTATATGCTTTTAGTATTTTGTATTTTCCTTCATGTCTCTTTTAATGATTTAATGCAGGTGGTCACATGGGAGTCACAAAGATCGCAAATCGCATGTCAAATGATGTAAAAAAAAATTACATAGCTAGGTGCCATAGATGTCAAATACAAAATCCAAAAGCTAAGAACACCACACCTCCTCTCCACCCAGTACCAGTGTCTATTTGTAAGCCATGGAGCCAGGTAGTTACCCCTTTTTAATAATTACACATGAAAATATAGAAAAAAAAAACGCTTAATAAAGATTATGAAATGGTTCTCCATCAATTATTTTATATGACAGACCAAAATTAAACACACCAGCAATGCCTTTTTCCTTTAACACAGATATTACTTTATAATTATGTTATTATCAAATATCTATTACAGATTGGAATTGACCTTGTGGCAATGGAGAAATCGTACAATGCAAACAAGTACATCTGTTCAGTGTTGTATCCGTACTGTCCAAGAAAAGCCCAAAAAAAAAAAAAAAAAAAAAAAAAAAAAAATATATATATATATATATATATATATATATATATATATATATATATATATATATATATATATATATATATATTACGACTTGAGACACCAGAATGAGGTAGGAATTAATTTCTTGCTAATGATACACTTAGGATTAAACTTTAGTATTTTATTATTTTCACATAAAATTTATATCTTTATCAAATACATCGACATTGTGTAATTTCCTTTATACACTCTTGCCCAAAATGGTTGGTACACGGAAATTTTGGGAGGCATATCGCCCTGTTTCTTTCATTATTATTGATATTATCAAATTAATACTGTTTATATTGTTAAATATGTGAAGCTGAAGGATTGGTAAAGTCAAGGAGAAACAAACAATGCGAATGTGAAAAAAGCGTTAATTTATTTAGGGTATTTTTTTTCTCATGCCCCCAAAAAGAGTACTTTTTTTGCATAACAGTACCAAGTGAAAAATTAAACATAAATTTATACTGTGATTGACAATTAATATGAAATTAGGGGAAATTGTCAAGAAACATCTTCAGAGTTCATTATTAATCTAAATAGCGGGTATGCCCACCGCGAGCTTGGAAAATGGCCGCCAGACGGCGTGGCATACTGTGAATAGAGTTACAGCTCTTTGGAGAGGAATTCTGGTCCATTCATCTTGAAGGGCATCTCGCAGTTCATCTAGATTTGCAGGGGGAAGGTTTCTCCTCTGAATAGCACGACCAAGTTCGTCCCACATGTGCTCAATTGGGTTTGCATCTGGGCTTCTTGCTGGCTGTGGCATCAGCTGAATGTTGTTTTTTCGGATATAGTCTGCAATTAAGCGGGCTGTGTGGGGAGTTGGATTGCCATGTTGCAATCTAAACTTGTCTCTGTATATCCCTCTTGCGAACGGTCCCGGGTTCTGCTGGAGAATGTCTCTGTATCTGGCAGCGTTAAGGTTTTCATCCAGAGGAAGCAATGGGCAAATACCGTTGCTGCCAATGGCACCCCAAACATGTACAGAACCGCCTCCTCCAGCTATGAGAGTGCGTAGGCTCCCTGGAGAGAGGCTGTTAAATGAAAATATCCAGGAAACAATAGCTGGAGGAGGTTGTTCTGTACATGTATGGCAAGAGTGTAGTACGTATTGTTACTGGTGTGTGGCATAGATTACTTTAAACCGTCGATAATACATACCATTTTTCATATCTTTCACGAAGGACTTTCAGATTTGAATTAAAGTGTTAAAGAAAAACTTTAGAGGGAAGAAAAAAGGGAGGAAAAGCTGCCCCAAGGGGGCCATACACAATAGTGGCAAAGAAGCCAAACGGCACGTATATTCTGGAAAATTTACAAGGGAAAAAGTCTCTTAAACTTTTTCCGTTGGCTGTGGGTGCTGGTCAACTAAAGCAGTAGAGAGAAAATAGGTGATTTTTCTTTTAAAAAAATTATAAAATGTTAATGCCATCTTTTATCTATTATAGACGCAATGTAAGCTATTGAAACATCAACTTTGTATTTATTGTCATTGCGTTTTCATGATCAATTTGGTCAGCATTTACAGCACGTTGACTTTTCTGTATTTCAGAGCTGAAGGCGAAGCTGAAACCAGTTAAATATTAAAAAATTACAAAATTGAGTATTTTGTACAACAAAGAAGATTGTAAAAAATAAACACCCAGTTAAAACAGGTTTTCTGTATTCTTGTCTTTTTTTAATTCAATAAATTTGATATTTTTATTGATAATTAGTTACAATTATATTGCATCAATAGAACAATTACTTCAATGAAATGTATAAAGCATACACATTGCAAGAAATAAGGAATATTGCCTTATGGGTACGAATTAAACTCGATTTTCTTTTGCCTTAAGTGCAACAGTAAGGGGGACCCTGCGATTCAAAGCGGACTGTTCATTTTAAATCTGAAAGTCTGCGGACTGCACGTTTTAATAGAGGAAGTCCCCCGGACACTCAGTTTTAAAACATAGGGTCCGCCGGACTCTGAAAGGGCCGGACTCTACGGCACGCTACACCGGCACTGTTTTAACTACTACATCACATTGTGTTCAGTCAAAAATATAACATATATATGTAAACTCGTTATATATAGTGCCACCATGCAAAGCCATATTTTGATAATTTGGCTCCATATACAGGTACATTCAAAACGTACTATAAATGTTCAAAATAAGTAATATCTCAAACAGATGTCTCTAAGTTTTCAGTTCAAACTTAACTCAAATATCTTTGAGTCGCTACATTACTTACATATAATGTATAAGTTGTCACTACATATGTATGAACACTATAACCTATTGACCTCTAATAAACACTCCTCTATATACACTCCAACAAAGGAGGAGCAGGGTCTAATACACACTCTATGTCTAATAAACACTGTATGTATCAGAACTGATAAGAAAACGTCAGTGTATTTAGGAATCGGGACAAGCAGGGGAGGTTTGCGGGCAATTGAGGGGAGGAGAGGAGGGTCAACATCTGCATACTGTCATTGCCATAGTAACCACTTTGGACATTTAAATGACTGGTGAAATATTAAAATATACTCATATTTTTGTGAGAATATCTGATTTTTTTTTAAATCTCTCTACAAAGGGGTTCACTTGAAAAGCTAGGTCCACCCCTCCCCGACTACCCTTTGCACCCACGACTATCAGCTTCTACTATGGAAATGCACACATTTGTTTAAAACGCAAGCCTGCTACATTGTGCATTTTCTGCTTGCAGTGAAGCAGATATCCTTGCCAGGCTTATGATGGGTTGCCCCTAATTAACACCCCTAATTTATCTGCATCAACATTTCCATTAAGACTTGAGACGTCTTGAAGTATTGCCTCAAGTCCATTTGTGAAATAATCTTTAAAATTATTATTAATAGTTCCTTCACATATATTCATACCAGCAGGTTTCACACCTCTTTAACTAAATAAAACACAAATGTGGCATAATAAACCGTACAGTGTATACAAAATGTGCAAGTAAAGCAACAAATGGAGTATCATTCACCCTCTACTTACGAATATTCACAAATAAGAGACGAGTGGAGTATATTTATACATCTAAATCACTCATATTGTAATTTTAACATTTCAATGTCTGGATCAGCAAAGCCGAAAAGTATTTACATTTTTTTCAGTTTGTACAGTTTGCCTTAGTCTGCCAACATAAAAGTGCGGTTGTGCGGTTCTGTTATGTCTGCAGGTATCATTTATATATTTGTCTGAATATACAGTGAACTTCAGTTTACCTGTGGTAACAAGTCTGTTTTTATTCTACGGATATATATACACATTATATACACTTCATTCCAGTCTACCTGAAGCACCAATTCTGTTTCTTTTCTACATGTGTATACAAATTACATGTACATACAGCGAATTTCAGTCTACCTGTAGTATCAATTCTGTTATATCTACAAATATATACACATTATACACAGTAAATTTCAGTCTACCTGTAGCATCAATTCTGTTATATCTACAAATATGTACATATTACACTTCAGTCTACCTGTGATATCAGTTCTGTTATGTCTACAGATATAAACATATCATATACAGTGTATTTCAGTCTACCTGTGATATCAGTTCTGTTATGTCTACAGATATAAACATATCATATACAATGAATTTCAGTTTACCTGTGGCATCAATTCTGTTATGTCTACAGATATAAACATATCATATACAGTGAATTTCAGTTTACCTGTGGCATCAATTCTGTTATGTCTACAGATATAAACATATCATATACAGTGAATTTCAGTCTACCTGAAGTGTTATGTTGGCGCCGTAGTTGACTGTGATGTCATGTTCATGAGACTTTGGCGAAGACAGCAGCTCACCTATGAAACAGGATAAAATGCAATATACAAAATACAACATACAATATGATTCTAATGATACTATATATATATATATATATATATATATATATATATATATATATATATATATATATATATTGATATGTTAAAAGTTGTGCGCATTTGTGATCTTTCAATTCTTCGAGAAACCTTTATAGGGCCTATAGCAAAAAAGTCAGCTCTTTATACTGCAGCATAGTACAATAATATATACAGTTAAAACATTGTACAATATATACATGTATGACATTGTACAACATATACGCGGCAGTTGTTCATGGGTGGCGTGGTCTTCGTTTGTGGGATATCTGCATGTACATTGATATAAATGCGTCAAATTTACATTTACATAATTACTTCCATTTGCTTTCCTCGTCATATATGGCGGCCCTTAATTCCTTGAAGCCACGTTCTGCCTCGTAGTCACGCTTGCCCTCCCGTAATTTCCTCAGCAGTGTCGATACTTTCTGCATCTTCATCGGTTCCCGCCACACGTGTTTCATGTTCTGGTGTGTTATCACATTTTGCTCCACAAGCCTATGCAATATCCCACTGAGTGCATCTTCTGGAAGCTCCATGGCCAAGTCGGGCAACCTAATTCAAAATTAAATAAGAAAATATCAACACCCCGTGTACAACTATAAGCCAAATGTTAATGATATAAATGCAGCGGGTGTCAGTTAACACCAGTAACATTTTGTGAACTGTAATTCAATTTTAAAAGCTTGATGAAGTTCATTTTGCAGACTTGCCTCAGAAGCCGAGCTGTCTGCGCATGCCCGTTATCATGGAGAGCACCACAGAACTGGTAGAAAGCAAAATCGTTTTTTCCCTTCAAGTAACTCTGAAGTCTGTTCCCTTGATCCGGTTCCTGGATTGCTGTGATTTCATCCTCTGTAAAAATCCCACATCTGTGGAGTCGACTGAGTATCTTAAGAAGGCAGCCAAACCTGCGGATGTTCTTCAAAATCAGGGGAGCACGTTTTTCTAGGGACACGCAGTGCAAAGCTGTCATTTCGCCTTCAAAACAGAAAAAAAACCGAATAATTAAGCCCATTATCATATTTTATATTCAAACAAAATGATAAAAATAGCTCTGTGTAAAAAGTTGCTACGTTAAATACATATTAAATACATAGAATATTGCCATTTAGTAGTGCTACCACACTGATATAAATGTTTTCATATGTTTTTGAATACAAAAACATATGAAAGATCAAAGAATACAAAATTCATACGGGTTAAAACATAACAAAAAATAAAGCACACAGAATAGTAACATGTCATATTTACCGGCAGTCACCGGATAGTAGAAGTCTGCAGAAGCCATAAACTCTGGTTCTTCCTCTGGACACGGGTGGTAAGGAACTGGTGCCTCAAGGGGAACACTCAGGAGATATAGAGGGGTGTCAAACAGCGTCGGTGGATTGTTGTCTTCGTGCACACAGTGTGGACACACCAGGAATTCATCCCAAGGAGATCCGGGACATTCTTTTTCTGTCAGGGATAGAAGATCTTCAAATATCGTCAGGCTGTGTTTCTTCACTTGGATGGGATCATCTCCACGTATGGAAAGTCGAATAACTCCATTGGGTGATGCATCAGAAACCTTTCTTTCCAAACAAAGGTGACACTGGTTGTCAAGCTTTGCATAGAAACCATCTTTCCAGTCTCGTCTTGATGCCTTGAACTGCCCCAAGTAGCCATGGAGATGCACCGCCGCCATTTCATACAGTCCAGTGGGACAAGTGACTGGAAAATGAACTTCAGTGGAAATATGTGACTCATCTCTGGATGGAACAATGGGCCAATTGGAATAAATGTCTTCAGGTTGAGCGTCTTTTAAAAGCCATGGGAAATGGTACCTATCTTCATCAGCTTCTTTTACAACGTAACAAACCTCGAAATTTTCAAGCAACTCTAACATGGCGTCATAACCCTGTTTTCCCAAGTTGAATCTCCGCCACAAACATTCCAACATGGTTCTACTGATGATACCTCTTTGCAGCACATCCTTCTTGGCATAGTCAAATTTCGCCTTGGTGAACTCTTTGTTGAAAGGGTCGGTTTCATATTTAAGTATGGAATCAATATCATGACGAAGAACTACCTTCAAGATATCAATGAAAACATCCTGTCTGTGGAATATGAAGGTCTTTAACAATGGCTTATCTCTGAACCAAAGAACAGCATGCAAGAAACTCAGCACGTCTTCAATTCTTTGAACATCATCACTTTCCTGCATTTGCGATGGTATCAACTCTGCCATGTTGGTAAGAGAATCCAGTGTTAGGTAAGGATCTTGTTCAATGTTCTTTGCTGTCTCTATGTGCTCCACCTTCTGCAGCCAAGACTCTGGCAATATGTAATTCTTTTCTCTCGCTTTTCTTATAAGCGTTTCCTCAAGCTCAGCTATTCCACTGGTAGTTTTCGAACTGATGACAAATACATGTTTGGCAACACGTGGTGGTGTCTGAATTAGACTCTTAATTCGAGCCACCTTGCCTTTGTATGCCTCTCGACCTGATTCTTTGCTTTTGTTTCTCTTTTCTAATTTCTCAAGTCTTGTTCTAAAATCGGATGCCATATCACTTAAGTGGGAACTTACGGCAGATAAAAGCTCCCGCGTGATTGTGTCTACTTCTTCTATGTTTAGGCAATCAGCATGTGTACCCACAAGAAGTATAGCTGAATCTGGTGCTCTGCTGTAAACGTTAGCTATCCAGCTTCCGACTGCTTCTTTGTATGTACAAGACCCTGCCTGAAGGTTGAACACTATCAGTGTGATTGCTTCTTTGGTGACGAAGAAGTTATGTGCAACTTTATAAACTTCATGCCCCCCAAAATCATTGATGCTGAGAAAAACATCCTCCTTTGGTGACCACGTGATCTGCTCCATGACGTGGGTTCTGTCTGCCATTGTCGTCAAGAAAGGCCTACCAGATGTCAAGGTTTTCACCAAACTCGTCTTCCCTGCACATGTCTCACCAATAACTTGTACTTGTAGTCTAAACGATGATGTTGCCTTGGTTTTGACTAAATCATCAAAATACCGCTGAATAGCCTCCGCCCCTCTGTCTGCTACTTCCTGTGGTGGCTGTTTTAGTTCGTTTTTTTTTCCAAACCAAATTTCTTGAGTTTAGACAGGAGACGTACATCAGGGGGCAGCTGGTCCAATTTATTGTGACCCAAATAACAATATGTGAGCATTTGTAGTTGTTTAATCCCTGGTGGGACTTGGCTGATTCTATTGTACTCAAGTTTGAGGATCTCCATGTTCACCAGCTCACACAATGGAAGTGGGAATTCTTTCAACTGGTTGTCAGACAGGTCCAATTCCTTCAGATTCTTAAGTTGTGTTATCAGAGGTGGCACTGCAGTGATGTTACTTTGAGAGAGGTCGAAGGTCTCCAGTGTCACCAGCTGACACACTGATATTGGGAATTCTGTAAACTGATTCGCAGACAGGTGCAACTTCTTCAGATTCTTAAGTTGTGTTATCTGAGGTGGCACTGTAGAGAAGCTGTTGCTCCGGAGGTTAAGGGTCTCTCGTTTCACCAGCTTACACAATGACATTGGAAATTCTTTCAAATGGTTCCCACACAGGATCAATTCCTTCAGATTCTTAAGTTGTGTTATCTGAGGCGGAAGTGTAGTGATGCTGTTGCTCCAGAGGTTAAGGGTCTCCAGTTCTACCAGCTTACACACTGACATTGGAAATTCTTTCAACTGGTTCCCACCCAGGATCAATTTCTTCAGATTCTTAAGTTGTGCTATCTGAGTTGGCACTGTAGTGATGCTGTTATTTAAGAGGTCAAGGGTCTCTAGTGTCACAAGCTTACAAATTGACATTGGAAATTCTTTCAACTGGTTTCCGCAAAGGTTCAATTCCTTCAGATTCTTTAGTTGTGCTATTTGAGGTGGCACTGACGTGAAGTTAGCTCTTGAGAGGTCAAGGGTCTCCAGTGCTACCAGCCTACACACTGACATTGGAAATACTTTCAACTGGTTCAAAGATAGGTTCAATTCCTTTAAATTCTCAAGTTGTTTTATCCCAGGGTGCACGGTAGTGATGTTGCTTTTGGAGAGGTCAAGCGTCTCCAGGGTCAGCAGCTTACATATCGACGTTGGAAATTCTCCCAACCGGTTCCAGGAAATGTTCAATTCCCTCAGATTCTTAAGTTTGGTTATCTTAGGTGGCACTGTGGTTATATTGGCGTTAGAGAGCTTTACCGCCTTGAGTGTTTCCAGCTCCAACAGTGACAGTGGAAATTCCTCTAACTGGTTATTAGACAGGTCTATTTCACTAATGTCTGTAAACTGGTTTATCTGTTGTGGGATTGTAGTAACATTGGCACTCGCCAAATTAAGATTTTCCAATGTTTTCATCTCTAATATTGTAAATGGGAATTCTTCTAAAGGATTTCTGGAGATGTCTAGCTTTTTCAAGTTGCACAGTCTTTTTAAATGTGGGCTGACGGTAGTTATTTTGTTGTTCTTTAGATCGAGTTCCTCCAAAGTCAAGAGTCTACATACTGGTAGTGGTATCTCTGTCAGCTGGTTTCCGGATAAGTTAAGCTTTCTCAAATGTTTGGGCTCGGTTATATCCAGAGGAATTGAAGAAATGCTGCAATTGGACATGTTTAGCTCTTCAAGTGTCTCCAGATTAAAGATTGTGATAATTTGTTCTTCCCCCATTAGATGGTTTTTGGAAACATTAAGCGTTGTAAGTTTCGTACAATACAACGTCGTATGCTATATGGAAGTATGGATGTTAGTCCTCTAAGGTTAAGTTCTGTCCATGTTTCTACCTGGTCTGTGCCTGGTCCTTGGTAACTGGGATCTTCATCCAGTTTATTAAGTATATCTAGTTTTTCCTGGTTTCCATACTGGGTAGGGTTCACATCCTGGTCCTGGTGTTCATATTGTCGTTGTTGGTATAAGACATTGACTAATCGGCTTATAATTGAACCCTTTTTCTATTGCATTGGATGGTCTTCAAATAATTTACTGCCTGATATGGGAAACAATGCTTTTTGGTGAATATTTCATGTTTGTGTGCTAGCAGACACCAGTCGACATGCTGGTGCCTTCAGCTAGGGTTCGCCAGGGTGTATGTTTCTTCACCGTGAACAAAACTTAAAAACACTATAAACGCTATGATCTTGAAACACAGCGTAGAATGTGCATTGCCTTTTTACAGGCTCCTTTTTTTCACTACTTCTGCACGCAATACAATTTATAGGCAGTCATTGAATAATGTGGCATGTTTAGTACATGGTAGTAAGTGCTGCAAAAATATATTTACCTTTCTGGCATAAGTATGAAATATTCACCAAAAAGCATTGTTTCCCATGTCGCCTTTTGTGAAATAAAGTCTGAATCGTGCTTTTCAGGATTTTGGACTCGCATCATCAGTCAGATATGAATGAAGTTTTATTTAATGGTGTCAGGGAAACAACAGCGCATTTGCATATGTTCTGAATGTCTCCATTATTATTTTTGAAAGTTTAAGATTTTCCACTGAATAAAGATCAGTTTTCAGATTATCACAATACATAACGTAATAGTAACTAATACAATGTAACAGAGAGGTACACGTGTACTTGCCGTCGGTTAGTTTATGCCGTAACCTGGTGCATTTTCTGTGGTATCAAAGCAGTTTGCAGTCCACGGAACATCAACACAGTTTTTTTCCACAATAAATCTACTAACTACAACGTCCAGCGCTTAAAACGCTTCCGCACACTGTCTGAAACAGTGACACACCGCATGGCCCCGACTCTCCTCTCTCTCTTCTTTTTCGATCTCCACACCCAGGAGAGCTTAATTCTCTGACAACTACCTACTAAGAAAAACATTTACTGTTTTTCAATTAATAAACGTAAATGTTACGAACACGGTAATACGAACACGGTAATAACCCTTTTACAACTCTATATAAAACGTCAACATGTTCATCTACACAACCAACAAATTAACAACCCCTTAACTGGGTAACACTTTTCACAAATTTTAACTAATAACAGTAAACAGCTTAACTTCTTAAGTTAAACATGAACTCTTACTCTATAATAAACTTAGTAGCTACAATGGAACTCTTGAAACAACTTGACCACTACTTCACTTACAAATGTGAAACTTAACATAACATCTGGCACAAACTTTATATTTAACACAACCTGCACCCACATTATCTGTTCCCTTAACGGCTTCTACTCTGAATCTAGTACTCTGCAAATAAAGTGCCCATCTCATCAATCGACCATTTTCTATCTTTGACTTCTGGAGGTAGGTTAACGGTTCATGATCAGTTTGCTCTGTGAACTCCTTCCCATACAAATAATTTTGAATTTTTTTTCACACCAAACACAACAGCAAGATATTCTCGTCCTCGGAAAGTTCTTCATTGGTCTTAACATCATGGTAACTTTCAGGTTTGCTCTGCCATTCTAATTCAAGCAAATGTTCATCGTCAATTACCCCTTCATCATGTAGGTCTGGTTCGATTACTGCCATATACACTTGTTCCATTTCTTGGATAAGGGTGTCTCGTTCCAAGTATTTCTTCAGGAGGTTTACATGGTACGTCTTCATTTTACCATTAACAGAGACACGGCAATCCCATCTGTTAACAACTTCAGCAACTTCGAATGGACCTTTCCACTGTAATGTCAACTTGTTATGATCCGTAGGTAGGAGTAGCAACACCTTGTCGCTTTTCTTGAATGTGCGATCTCTCGCCTTCTTATCATGTTGGTGCTTGTAACTACCTTGCGCTGCGTTCAGACTTTCACGAGCCAGCTTGCACGTGTCTTCCAATCTGTTTCTCAGGTCTATTATGTATTGGTGTGTATTCTGTACTTCTGGCGTCGTACTTTCTGTCCACACTTCCTTCAAAATTTCCATTGGTCCTCTCACGGTTCTCCCATACAACAATTAAAAAGGCGAGAATCATAGACTGCCTTGGGGCACTTCTCTGTATGCAAACAAAACTGCTGGTAAATATCTGTACCAGTCCTTGGGTCTCTCTTGGCACATTTTCTTTATCATGTTCTTGAGTACACCGTTCATCCGCTCACAAAGGCCATTACGCTTGGGATTGTATGGTGTCGTAAACAACTGTTTCATAGAGATCAATCTGGATACTTCTTTCATGAGGTCCAACGTAAACTGCGTCCCGCAATCACTCAACACTTCTTTGGGGAATCCTATACGACAGAATACTTCCAGTAAGGCTTCAGCCACACGCTCCGTCTCAATTCTCGGTAAGGCTACGGCTTCAGGGTAACGCGTCGCATAGTCAACTACAGTCAAAATGTAGCGGTTTCCACGCTCGGTCACTGGAACAATTGGACCAATCAGATCAACAGCTATGCAATGGAACGGGATATCAATTAATGGCATTTCTCCCATGGGAACTTTGGTAACTTTTCCCCTAGGGGTTGTTCGTTGGCACACATCACATGACTTGCAATAACAACTAATGTCACTTATGTGACCAGGCCAATAAAAGGCACTGGTTATTCTGTCACTGGTTTTCTTGACTCCTAAGTGACCCCCTACTATGCTTTCATGAGCTAATTTCATAACTTCTTCCCTATATGGCTTTGGCACTACTACTTGCAAGACTTCCTTATCACTATTCTTGTAACACTCATATAATATATCATTTTTCACGACAAAATCATAGGAACCTTGTCCCTTGGTGAACTTCAATTCACCACTACTTGCTAATTGGTAACATTTCTCAAGTGAACTATCAGGTTTTTGCGCTGCTATTAACTCATTCGAGTTCATCTCTTGAATGCCTGGTAATGCCACCTTAAGCGGTCTAACATCTAACTTTTCCTTCTTAGCTCCACTTCTTGTCTCCACCCTGGATCTGGTATATTTCTAACACCTGTTAAATTACCTAACACTACATCGTAAACTGGTTTTTCTATAACCATTGCCTCCACTAGGCCCACATAATATGGTGTATCAATGTGCACATTTGCTACAGGGAACTGACGGGCAGTCCCATCTTTAAATACACATGAATGCTCTCCACCAGTAAAATGACCCTTCTCAACTAATGACGATATCACCGCTACTCCACTACAGCCCGTATCTCTTAATACACTAACCCTCTTCTTTCCAACAAAGCCACTGCTAACAAGCATATTATTACTTGTTACTGAGTTGCTACAACCACTGGCCACTGACTTTTCTGTACTTTAAGGACAGTTCTTAGAAATGTGACCATGCTTGTGACATAAAATAAAAAAAAAAAACACTCTTAGGGCACTCATACTCACTTGTCACTCATAGGGCATTCTTTAGCAAAATGTCCTCTTCTGAGACATAACCGACATTGATCCTTTTCTACGGTCTTCATGTCCGACTTTATTGGTTCTGACTGCTTACTACCATTTACAACAACGGCCTTGTTTGGGTGTCTAAAATTATTATTCCCCCTGACTGGGGACCCACTGTGTGCCTCAAGGTATTGCTCTGCTAACCTGGTCATCTCATCAACAGTCCTTGGCTTCTTTTCTTTAAAGAACACTGACAGTTCATTGGAGTATGTCGACATGAATTGCTCTCGCATGATGAGGCCATTGAGGCTTTCTACTGTATCTTCAACTTCTGAGAGTTCTTTCCATCTTTGATAATATCTCTTCATCCTAGCAACAAATTGAAACACCGTTTCCCCACTGTCAGGTTTACAGTTTCTGAACTTAACACGAAACCTTTTTTCGGTCAGCATATATCTCTTCGACAAGGCTACTTTCAAGTTGTCATAGTTATTAGCTTCCTCGGCTGGCATACTAGAATACGCCTGCAGACCTTTACCAGTTAACAATGTGCTTAGACTCACTGACCAACTCTCTCTTGGCCACTGCTGACTAGAAGCAAAGCGTTCAAAACGATCTAAAAATGCATCCATGTCATCTTTATTTTCATCAAATGCAGGTAACTTTGGGCGTGGCGCCTTAACACTTGTTTCGCTTGAGGTACGTGCACTGAATTTGGTCTTCTGTTCGCCCAATTCTACCTGGAGCTTCATCTTTTCTATTTCCATATGCTCCTTCTCTAATGCCCGTTGCTGTTCTTCTTGCTGAAACTTTCTGGCAAGTTCTTGCTTTTCCATTTCTAATTCATGGTTTAATCTTATCACTTCCAATTCCTGTTTCTTTCTTTCATCTTCACGTACACGTGCTCTCTCTTCACGCTCTAGGTACTGCTGTTCACATTTTGCTACATACTCTCTCAACTGTTACACTTTGTCCTATCCTAGCATGGCAGGAATAAACATGGCCGCCGACATGCTGATTTTCACATAAATCTGACCTTATATTCATATCTTTACAACCGTGAATATTAAGCCTCATATAAAAAATGAACATCTTTTATCCTCAAGTTAATGTGAAACTCTTCTTTTAATCCGCAGTACGTGTAAGAATAAAGCAATCAAATACTGATCACAAGCAATGATTGGACATTAATTGCCTTTCTTTTTTACACGGGCACCTTCTGTAACCGATTACAAAATTCCACAGTTGTCACCTTACTATTACTATAGTTATGTAGCATTGAACTTCAGAACCCCCCAAAACACACATTTTAATGAATATTTGACAAGGTCATTTTGGCAAAAAAATAATCATAAACGTGTAAGAGCCCAACTAATTTGGCATC